AAGCACCTAAAAAGTATTAGGATATTACGAGTGAAACCTTAGCATTTTGTTTTGCAGTTTGGAGATGTTGTACTAAGTTATATAATGCTGATGTTTTTTATTTATTCTGTGTAAAGCCAAATTGATTTTGATGTATCAATTAGGATTTTGTTAGAAAATAATATATTCTTGGTGTAAAGAAGTTTTTCCAAAACTTTCCCTAACAGCGAGTGGAGACATATGGGCCTATAACAACTAGTGTCGTCAGTTGGACGTTTTTGTTTATTTAGCAGTATAACTTTACGTATTTTCCACATGTTAATGAAATACCCTACTTGGAGGCATGAGTTGAACATTACGTACATAAATGGATAGTGATATGCCCAGAGTTGCTTAATAATTGGTACTGTTAGTTGATCTATACCCGGAGCTGTTCTTACGAGCAATGTTGTTATAATTGGTTCTATTTCTAGATATGCAAATTTTGGATTAGAGGGGCCTAGATTTAGATTTATTATATACTATGTCTTAAGTTAGTTTATAATGGCAAATCTGTTAATATATCATCTGCTTGATATAACGTGCCTAAAATATTTTTGACAGATTCCATATGTGAACTAGTTAGTGATATATCTGTTTTACACAATAAAGAAATTATTATGGATGTTTTAATCTCATTAAAAGCTAGTTTATACGAAATACCAAAAAGTGGTGTTTTTATTGCATAAAACGAAAATTCTGCCAAGAATTTAATTTTGCAGTTGAAATAATTTCTTTATACTCTTTTCTAAAATCTAGATATTTTCTTTTGTATGTTTGTCTCATCTCCGAATTGTAACATCTTTGGTGTCATCTGCGATATGCATTAACTCTAAATCTAGTATTGTGTAATTCCTCAGACAACAACGGAGTTGCACGACCATAAATTTTAACATTTCTTTCACACTCTTTATCCCATGTGTGCAATCATCAATAAAAGTAATTTACGGTAGTTTTTATTTCCTCAGCTGTATGATGCAGAAATGAAAGGTTACTTAACCTTACACCTTTTTTTTAATGATATAAAAAAGATTAGAAATGCAATGTTTTGTTAGTTTGTCTAATTTTATATGGAGTTATATAAAAAATTCGAAGGAAATATATTTATGGTCGCTCAGTCTTTCTTTATCCTGGATCTCCTCGTGTGTGACCTTCGGGACGAACTGTCCAGATGCCACCGAAAGGTCGATCCACAAATCCTATCATTTGCAGTTTGAAAGGTTGCTTCTGTGTAATTTCTGTTAAGAATTAATGAGTTACGCACTAAAAAGAATTCACTTAATTGATCACTTCTGTCGGTAGTAATGTTATCAACCCATGTTACATTTTTAGCACTGAAATCGCCTCCTATGATTAAGTATTTACCCAACCGCCGTACATTGTAAAAGCAAGGCCTTCTTGTTTCCCGAAGAAGAATTGTATCTCAGCCACTGTCGGAAGGTCGCTTGCATAGCTGAGCAACTGACAAGCACGTACAATGGTTGGCTTCAAGTGTTTGCTGACGGGTCAACAAATCCCACGACGGCAACATCTACAGCGGCATTCGTCGTTCCCGGTGCCGGAATCGAAGCATCACACCGCCTCAACTTCGCAAACCCGTAAACGACAGCGGAGCTGGCTGCACTAGCAGCGGCATTAGATGCTCTTCACAATCTCACTCCTTGCAAGACAGTTATTCTCTCAGACTCTCGAAGTGCGTTGTCCAATTGGGAAGCTTTAGACCGGGCTCCTTTTCTGGCCCAATGTGTGGCCGACAAGACCCGAAAACTTTGCATGCGAGGGTGGCAGTTGGCTTTTCAATGGATTTCGTAACATATGAGTATCACCGGCAACGAACGCGCCGATGCCCTTGCTTCAAAGACACACAAGGAAGAAGAACCCTGCCTTTTCATCCCATGCTATTGCGAAGCGCGCAGACTGTGCAAATTAATTACCAGAATGCGCCACCCCCATACAGAAGTTGCAAGCGGGAATCCTCCTCCATCGCTACGTGAGTCAAAACTAACCAGATCAGATTCCACGCTACTCCATCGCCTTCGTGCAAACTGCGCCTACACATCAACGACACTTCACAAGATCTCCAGGTCTAGTACACCCAACTGTGCCAGATGCAATATCCCAGAGGACCTCGACCACGTTCTCCTAAATTGTTCTCATTACGATCAAGCTCGACGGTCCTTTTTTACCACCATCCTAAGTGCTAGCACAGCTGGGACTCAAAAGAACGAAATCCTTTTTCCACCCGGAGGTCGACGAAGAAGAGAACTTGTTTATAAATCTCCTCTTGAGTACCTCCAAGGTACTGGATTTGCAACGCTCCTCTAGCCCACCGGTCCGCCACCTAGACCAGTCACGCCATCGACTAATTTGTGATCTCCATACCAGAAGACAGTTCTGGAGTGTCCCCTTTCCCTCAAGAAATTAGCCTCCTGATTCGACCCTACTCATCCAGAGATTGCTGACCAAGTGACCCCCATCCCTCTTCTTACCTTTCTTACCCTTTTTCCCCGCCCGTGCGAGCCTTGCCCCTGCCCAAGGAGGCTAACATTACCAGCAGGCGTCCCCTCTCCCCGTGTGTAAAAACACTCAAGAATAACAACGATGACTACTCTGATGTGGAACTCGAGATCACGAGGAATATACAAAGAAACAACAAAAATTTGAACGCTGTCGAAGCACAGGTCAAAGCTAAGACGCTAAGAGCGTGAGTCAGGAGACGCCGTTTCACGCATTCCAAAGTAAAAAAAAAAAAAAAAAAAAGCGTCGGGAGATTAGGTGTCTTTACGTTACCACCAGGATAATAGAGATGCGCACCCTAGCGGTGGTGGCATGAATCTGACGCTTTCATTTGTCTCGCGGCGTTGAATCTAGCCAATTTCGGACGTTTTTCTGTTCTTCTTCACCACACGGAAAGAAAACAAGCTCAGTCAATGCGCCACAAGTAGTGCGAGGCACAATCAGGCAAGCTTGTACTACCCAAAATAAGGGCGCTACAGTTTGTTCAAAGTTTTAGCGCAGATCTAGGCTATACGCCTCGCAAGTAGGCTCATTTTCGTCTTCTGCGCATGAGAAAGGAAGTAGTGGTGACGCCAGAACGCCGAGTCCTGATTGGCTGATCGCGACCCCCTATCTCAGTGTCGTCTGCTCCTTTGCAACGTCGTCTGCTCGCAACGTCGTCTGCGTCTGTCTTACCTTTCCTGCGACTTTCGGAGCGAACTCGACTTCGCCTTTAAGAGAGGGCAGACAAAATAACTCGAGCGGTACGTTGTTTTTGTCTAACAACTAGCAGACGCGTATCAAGGACGGAAGTCAAAGGACTCACTGGCGAGGTGTCCCGGGGCGCCGAGGTTTGTTTGTTTAGAACCAAGAGTGAGCGTGTTAGTGTCCGCAAGTTCCCTCCCAAATACTTTTTCCCTCCATTCGTGTGCGGCGAGACCCCTCACTCTTTAACGGCGCCGGCGGGTTGGCGCAGTTAACGTCGTCTGCTTTACGTCTGCTAGTCAAAGCGATGGCTGCTTTACCTTTCCTGCGTCTGTCGGAGATTCACCGCTTTTTCACCGGCGAGTCACCGTTGCCTCGGGAAACAAGGAGATAACAAGAGGAAGAAATTGACCTCTTAATCTAAAATTGAGGACAGCGATCAAAGTATAACACGGGAAGGGTTCACAAGGGTCGCGCGGGCATATTCCATTCAGCACGTCAGCCGGTCGTGGGCAGACGGTCGCCGAGTCGCGGAGTGCCTGCTAGGCATAACTGCCCAGCTCGTTTGGTCGCGCTCGGTGGAATCGTGACCGTTGGAGCTTTTCCCTGGTGTTTGTGGATCCAGCGTTCTTGTTCGTCGTGCTCTGTTTCAAGTAATTTTTACTTTTTTCTTGCTGCTTGAAGTCAGGACGCGTCAGAAGCTCACGTAGAAAAATAAACGTCCGTGGGTCGTCGCGACCGCGACGCTGTCGGCCATGCTGATTTGATCGTGAGAAGTGCGTAAGACAGCTTCGGAGCTGTCGTAGGATTTCGCCGTAACCTAGGCAAAACTTACGAAAATTTCGTTTCGTGAATACGAGTTTGTTCTTAAGTTTTGTCTTACGCACATTTTTGGCGTAAGATCGTTTCGTGAATCTGGCCTCTGCGCTTCCGAAAGTCGCAGGAAAGGTAAGACAGACGCAGACGATGTTGCGAGCAGACGACGTTGCAAAGAAGCAGACGACGCTCAGATAGGGGGTCGCGATCAGCCAATCAGGACTCGGCGTTCTGACGTCACCGCTACCCCCTGCGCAAGAAGCAGACGAACTTGCCCTCCGCATTGGTTCGAGGTCGTACCTGCCTCGCTTATGAAAATCTCAGGTTTCTTGCTTCGCGGTTCGTTCTTTTTCCAACACATCCAAATGCGCCCCTCAGGAGTCGTGGTTTCGCTCAAATCGGTCGGGGTGTAAATACTCACGTGTACAGCCCGCATAGAAGACAAAGGCCTCCGACGTTCTTATCCACAAATGCAGCAGTCAGTCTCATAATTGACTACGGAGCCGTAATGATCAAGACGCCCTTCCCTTTCAGAGGCTATCAATGAGTACATCGGGTTCTACAAAAATCAGAGATCCCTCCACGCAGCGCTTCTTCTTCCTGTGCCCCGCGCCAGACACCCCTGAATCGGAATCACTTTGTCAAAAAGTGGTCGGCGCGTTTCTTCCTCGTACGACGATCCTGTCACATTGTACATTCAAAAACAGTGTGCAGACATATTTGAATCATAGATATGTAACATGATTCCAACACGCTTATTTAAGTGTGTCCGCAGGTCATTATGCCATCATGTCTGCAGTGAACTCCGTGTCTTTTATATGAGGTAAACGGACCGGACCAAATCTCACAGTTCTACGTGTAATAATGAAGCAAATAAGAGAACTAGACTTTGTTTAGATTTAACATATACGGCTTTTTTAAATTTTTTATTATTAGCTAAAGGCAAAACATGCGACATGTTTAGCTCATAATTCGGCGCGACTGCGTGGTTGCTCGGTGCTGGTCGGTTGCTCGGAGTCGTCGTAGTTGAGGCATTTCTTCCATTCCCTCGTGACGTGGACGCGCGCCTCGGCACAGCCGAAAGAATATTGCCAGGTACCCACGTAGATCTTAAGCGTGAAGTCGTACTGAAATGAGAACATTACACGACGAACATAATAAGTGTACTGGAAGGACGCGTACACAAAGAAGCAGACAATCCAGCAGACAACGGTTTGGAATATTTCGATACAGAAACACAGCTGTTCTGCCTGTGTGTGCGCAAAGGCGCATGTCACCGTTGTGATTTGCGCCATTGTAACTAATTTCACGGTGAACTCCAAAAATAGAAAATTTTGTTAGTGTACTAGAGACATAATAGACCTATATATAGAAGCGCTTTCCGACATTACATTTGTCACGTGCCTTCCTCCAGCGACCAGATTGGCTCCTCGGAGATTTCGCCGTTCGTCAAGTTCCGTTGAAACTCAGTTTACATATATTGATTCGAGGGAGAGGCAAAATACTCACAAAGACTGTTTCGAAACACAACTACAAAATAATTCGACGAAACAAAAGTGTATTTATTCACAAATGCAACGAGCGTTTGAGAAAAGTGTGTATACAAGAGAGAAATACACCCGAAAGGTATCCGATCATCTTCAAATACTTATAGAAATGCACTCCCGGCATTGCTTGTTTACCTATATATATTTATTTTTTTAATTTGATTGTGCTCAAACCGTGGCAAGATTCATACTCTTGGTGGTAAGGTCACCTCTTTCTCTCTTTGATGTTCTTAACGTACGACTTCCATCGCGAAGATTAAGAACACCTAAAATTGTATTTGATTACTATTTCATTCAAAATACCCAGTTTTCATCTACTAGGCGCACAGTTCTTTGGACCCAAATTTCTTTATCTTTTTGGCAAAGAAGGACGCTGAGATTCCGAGGAAGCCAAGCTATAAGCAAGATTGTTAGTTTTTGGACAGAGTCTGGGTATCCTGGCCGTAAATTGTCAAACAAGTACCAAAGTTAGGCTTTGCCACTGCCCGTAGTGCTTGTTCGATTGTCAACAGGCTTTTTAGGCCTCGGTTCCGCAGCGAATGCAAGAATTAGACTTCCCTGCAGGTTGTTTGGTAGCATCCTGGTATTTTTGGACCCACGCATAACACTTTAATACCTAAAAAAAAATCTGCATATTGATCAGTTATAGTGCCCAAGCAAAGCACAATCGTTCTAGCTAACTCCTTGGAGCAAAACCTAAATGCAATAGACACGTACGTTTCCTCAAGGGCTGTTCAAATAGGACACTTCGAAATCGTGAGGCGACACAACCCAGTCATATGAAGTGGGAGTTGAAGTCCGGCAGTGCGTTTTTTGTTTGGACATCACCAGGCAAACGTCACGACTTTCCTCCTCGCTTCCTCCGCTTTTCGGTGACCTCTGTGCTTGTCAGACTTGACGTACCCCACCTGACAATGGTGTGCCTGTTGCCAGTCCACTTGTTCTGCCTCGCTAGTGACAGACTGGCCTATGAGCCCACACCCACGATTGCCTGTTTCCTGTTTCCAATTACATCGCCTACACAAACATACCCTCTTATTCTTCCCTTTCCCGTTTTCGGCACTTGAACAGATGATGAGTCCTTCAGCGATCGACGGACAGCCAACACAGCGTGTGAGTGGCTCTGCGGACCCACGTGATGAGCATGCTCAAGGCCTCCATGAAGAAGGAAACAAGCGAACTTTAAGGAAAAAAAAATTCCCTCAATGGGAAAAAAAAAAAAAAAAAGAATGGACGGAAGGGGATTGTTGCACGACATATGACGGAGTTGTGTCGTTTCACGATTTCTGAAGCACGCCGTTTGAACGCACCTTAAAATGGAGTTAAATACGAAATACCAATTACTTAAATGCCTACGAGCAGCCAGAATGAAGGAAACTCTCCCGCAATTACTCCTTTCTAATGGGGAAGGGGGACACCTTCCTCCTTTCTGCGGGGAGTAGCTCATAGACCCGCTCCTCTGGGGAGAGGAGGTGAGGGAATGGAAAGAAGGAAACAGGAAACCGGTGTTCTGCCCGGCAGAAGACGAATCTGTGGGTCGGCCTTATTTGAGATACTGACCATCCTTGGCCACATCGATTATGCGAACAAACACTGCAGAGAGAAGCTTACGACTCGAACTCACGGGGTAAAACTTGCGGCACAGTCGGGCGGTTATTTTGAATGTTTCGTTTCGCTTGACCCTGAGTGGCATGTCGACGTCGGGGTTGGTGAAGTTAAACGGCACCTCCTCGCCGAACGCACGTAAATCCTCGGTATGCTGCTCCAGCCATATACCTCCCATCAACTTTCCTTCGTTTACGTATGAAACTACAAAAGGAAAACAAACAATTTTAGACAAGTTCAAAGGAAAGTCAAAAATGTTTTCAAAAGTTTATCGAGCAACCATGGCGGTCGCCCATTTCTTGGGTAGAAAAAGAGCGTGATCGGATCCGAATCCTTGGCGAACGCTAACTCGCAGCACTCGTTCTCGGCATCCGAGCCGAGCCAAGCTGGCACGGAACGCCGACGTCGCGCTCGTGCCATGCTCAGAGAACGCGCCCAAACGAGGGCGAATTTTGGGTACAGTTGGCTCACAAGCTGCTAGGTGGCGCCAACTTAGGGCTCTATTAGGCGGTTATAAACAGGCGTCGTGTAAAGGCGCGGTCCAACTTCTCGTACATCTTACACAAGACAACGCTGTTCGCTGGAAACACAGAAGCATCTCAGGCCACGCCTCGAGGATGCTCCAAGGCATGTTTGCTTCATAACACTTAGCGAACCTGTCTGCAGACAGCTTTGTCCCTGAGGGCGTCATGGCGTTGCTTGAAGATATAACCATCAGTGCGTGCTCATTTCCCTCCATCGTGCCGTACAGCTACTCTCCAGGCTCAGCCCAGACAGCCAAGTGGAATCGAAGGTAGGATGTTCGCGCACCTTATCGTCCTTGCAGTGGTTGCTGAATTACCTCTTCGAAAGCAGAAGACAAAAGTGTTCACGATGTTCAACGCATCATTTGTCGTAAAATATTTACAATATCATTATGAATGTTACAAGGCTCTAAGAGGAAGTTCCGACCGAATGTCCCGGTAATACAACGATACAAAAAGAGCAACTAAGGAATCACATATATAGAGTGACTCCGGTAGATCTAACACTGGAACACGAGTCGGGAAAATCGGCACCTGCAAATAAACAAAACTAAAACTTTCTCATTGAATGTGCATTGAGGTGGTCGGTTATACCTCTTGAAATTTCAAGGCGTGGTTAATATTATTATTATTGCTATTATTATTATTATTGTTTATTATTATTAATGACATCTTGGCATATTTGTGCAGTTGTAGAATTTTACAATATGCGGACGACACTGTTGTTATATCTCTAGTCATCTCAATTATGATCATGCTTTACAATTAGTTATGACTCCACGGGAGTTATGGACAGATTGTACGCGAATTTGATTCAAATTAACGCTTCCAAGACAAAACTCGCTCGGCAACGCGTGCGGCATTACTCCCCCCTTTTAAAAGCGTCTGAAAGGATGCAACGCGACGCGACATAAAAATAGTCGAGTCGTGCTTGCAAGGCGCATGCGTCGAACGTTGACTTTGGCAAGTTTGTTGGCCTTATTATTTTTTTCTTTTTCACAAGAAGCTGAATATTTTTTTTTAGTCTTTACGAGGTAAAACTGGCCACCTCAATGCGCATTCGGGAAAAGTTCGTGCTTTCTATGTGGAGGTGCAGATTTTTTTGGCTTGTTTTATAGCATAGGATCCACGCGGCCCTATTATACGCAAGATGTTTTTTTTTTTTTTTTTTTTTTTTGTCGTGCAACGTTGTATTAGCAAAGGAAAGGCTGGAGATTCATACTTACGGCCTTTATCCCACCAAGGAAGGAACTTTTGCGAATAATCTATCGCAAAAAAGCGAGAAGAGAATAAAATGTTACAGCAATTATCTGTATTAATGAACAAGTCTTCACCAAGAAAGTCGTAAACGAAGAAAAATGTTTGAACAGCAGTAGAGGCTTTAATATACGACGTTTCGGGAAGAGACTTTCCTTCTTGAAGAAAGGAAGTCTCTTCCCAAAACGTCGTGTATTAAAACCTCTACTGCTGTTCAAACATCTTTCAGCAATTATCCGCACAGGTACGTGTTGACAACCACACGTGTTGATTGGTTGATTGCTACGATAGACCCTTTTCAAAAGTTTATGAGGCAACATAGCGAACGTCGTTCCTTGGGCACGAAGCATTTGGGATTGGGTCCAAGCCCTCGCCGAAAGCTGACGAAGTGCGGATATTCTTTTTCTGATATATTATGCTGATGTATTTTTTGTACAGTTTTTTTAAGTTTGTTATTTGGTATTCACGATAAAGTAAAAGCTCGCGTATGCGTTTTCACATTGCCAGTCGCCCGATACGCCTGCTGCACAAGCGTATCGGGCGTTCAGAGTTTAAACAAAACAAGATCTGTCAAAAAAAAAAAAAAAAAATCACAAAAAGCTTACGTTTGATTGCCATGGCCCAACCCTCTTCACTATTTTCCCCCACCAGTCCTCCAATTTCCGCTTTGTGTATTCTACCACCCTGAGGACACAGGTATCGTCCTGATGGCCGCGCTGGCCACCATGGTTTAAACTTCCATCTTTATCTACGCACATCGTCAGCGTCGTCTGCATCGTCTGCTCCTGCCCTGTCGATGGTCCCGGTCCCAAACTCCTCATCTCCAGTGCAACCGCATAGTCCAGCAGATCTGGTGGCATTGGCGGCCTCAGCTCTCGGCACTCCATTATGACGTGTTTGCCTGTCTTCTCCCGGCGGCCGTACAGCTGGCACGTACCGTCCATCCCCGGCGTGCACTTGGACATCAGGTGGCGTGTCCTCAACACTCCACTTCGTGCCTCGCAGAGCAGCCCACGGTCCCTCGAGTTGTCGACGAATTCCTCGCACACGATGCTCTTCTTCTCCACATCGTAGACGGCGAAGGACGGCCGTGCACCGACCGCGGTGACATATCTGGTCGTTTCTGTCTCCTTCACGTATTCCCGGACCCGTTTTACCGCCCCTGAGATTCGACCTCTTACAGCAGCACCCGAGTCACGTCATATCGCCCCCGTGAGCTGGTTCACCCTTTTTACCCACCGGGTGTTTATGCTTAGAAGGTGAATGTACTTGAACACCTGGCGTCCCCATCGTTGTTCCAGCAGAGGGCATCGGCGCCGTCCAAGAAACAGTTTGCTGCTGGCCTCACAAGCTTTGAGGCAGGACCAGCCCATGTCATCCAGGAAGCACTTACTGGTAGTGTTTTTGTGTGTTCCCAGCGACAGGAGACCCAGCTTTCGTTGCCTCACTTCCAGGTGTTCTCGAGTACGTGCCAACAGGCACAGCACGGCATTTGCGAAGGTCAGGCCCCGCACCGTTACCATTTTCCAAAGTGCCCGCATTGTCTCGTACCGGTTGAAACTCCAAATTTCCCTGAATCCTAGTAGCCCTTACGTTTGTTCGCCGTGCTCCGCAGCTCGGTTTCATGTTGTTCGAGGTACCTTCGCCCCGACTGCAGCGTCACTCCCAGGTATGTGTATTCGGCTTTCCACCCGATATCTTCGCCTTGGATGTTCACCATCTGCGACAGCTGTGTCGAGACATCCTCTGTTTCCTGTGGGTCCCGTTGCTCCTCCCCTGCCCCAAGGACTCCACACTTGCTGGGTGTTGAACGTTAGCCCCAGAGTGTTTTTCTCTTCTCCGCAGGTGTCGAGCGATTTTTTAAGCTCGTCCAGGGATCCTGCCATAAGCGCCACGTCATCTACATATCTCAAGGCAGGGACCCTCTAATCTTCTTGCCTCCCCTCTTTACCGTAACCCAAGTTGACACCCAAACGACTGTACTCCAGTGCTCTCTTCAGTCTTGCAATATACAACATGAACAGAAGTGGTGAAAGTGGGCACCCCTGTCTTAGTCCTCTTGTGGCCCTTATGGGTTCGGTGAATTCCTTCCTTCACTGTACCTTAACACTATTGTCTTTGTATATCTATTGGAGCAGGTCCCTTCATTCCACAGTCATTCCCAACTGCTCCAATACTGTCCACAGCAGCCCATGGTTCACAGAGTCATACGCCTTGGAAATGTCCAAGAAGCCGAGGTATAGAGGCCTCTGCTCATTGTTGGCTATCTCCATGGCTTGTCTGAACACAAACAAGTTGTCCTTCAAACTTCTTCCCTTGCGGAATTCATTTTGGAGCTACCCCGTGGTCCTCTCGTGCTCTGCCCAGCTCTGTGGGCGTTCCTTTAGTACATGCATGAAAATCGGTAGAGCACCAAGGTCACCGTTATCGGACGGTGTTTTTTCAGGATGAGCTTGTCTCCCTTTCCCTTGTATAGCATCCTGACCCGGGATCTCCTCCAGTCCTCCGGTATCTCCCTCGTTTCCATCACACAGGAAAGCTCATTTCGTGGACGTTCCCTGAACTTTCTTCCTAATTTCTTCAGAAAGCTTGCTGGAATGTCATTTAGACCCGTCGCCGTGCGTTCCATGGCGCTGTTCAACTCGCCCTGGGATATAGCTCGGCGCTCTTGGGTACCTCCTGTGCTCTCCCTAAGGGGGTCACTCTGTCTTACTGCATCTAGTTCCTCGAAGCTCTCCGCCATCGCTAGAGCAATGTGCCTGATACATTGCTGTCCAGTCAGGACCACTCCGTTCGTGGCATCCCTTATTGTTGTCGGGTTAAACTCTGCCCCTCTCTCCTCACCTCTGACATGTTGCCAGAACTTTTTTTGGGGGCATCTCTCTCTGCAACTGCTTCGCAAGTCCTAAAGCAGTTGTCGGTCCACCTTCTCCATTTTTCTCTGAACCACAGTCGAGAACTGTCTTTTTTCCCAATATTCCTCCCATGCTTTGAGAATATCTTCTTTCTGCGTCCTCATTTTAACTCGTTCACCGTGCGTCTTGCATGCCGCTCTTCTCCGGTCTCTTGCTTCTCCCCCCTCTGTGTCCCACCATCTCGATCTTTCTCCTTCGTCTCTGTTTCCGGTGTCCACTCCTTATTCCCTTGACCTTTGTAATCTGCTTGCGCATCCAATTCACAACGGCTGTGTACTGTCGGTTGGGTTCATCCTTCGCCTTCTTTTTCAGCTCCTCCTCCCCTCTCTCAATTTCACTATTGGGCAGCCCCTCAGGTGTCGTTAGCATCGACGACTGTTTTATTATGTTTGCCTCAAACTCCAATATCAGGCGGCGGTGCACCAGTCACATTTATTGTCATGTTTGTTAGGCTTTCATATAGTGCTGGGGACATGAGACAGTAGTCTATGCATGATGAACGTTTCCGAACTGCCCATGTGATATTCCCTCTACAATTGACTGTTCCGTTTACCATCCCTCATCCCATTTTTTTTCATCCAACGTAGGAGTTCCCGCCCGGTCTTGTTTGTCCTCTCATCCAGTTCTTCTATATGCGTGTTAAAGTCTCCAAGTAGGATGGTGGGTAGGTTCAGTTCTTCCGCGTCCTTCTGTAGGCAGGTCACTTGTGCCTCAGTTTGTTTCCTCAACTTTGTTTCCAGTCACTATTCCGACGGCCACCTTCTTTTCCCCTATCCTTCCTGTTATCCTCAGGTGCTCCACGCAGCTTTCCTTTGCCTTTCCCGGTCGCCTGTAGTCGCCCCCCCCCCCCCCCCCCCCCCCCCAGAAAATCCACAGATACTCCTTTTTGCTCACCACCTCTTCTGTTTTGACCCTGCCAAGTGAATTTCTTGTGTGCCGGTGATACCTCCCCATTCTTCAGGTGGGTTTCCACCAGTCCCACTGCCACATTTCGCGGCCTTTCTCCCTCCTTGCATTTTCAGGAAAGCCAGAGTTTGTCGCCTTCTCTTCTGTTCCCTGTGTGTTCTCTTTCCTGTCTTTTTTTGGCTGCACCCCCCTGCTGTCTCCTTTGGTTGTTGTTGCTTAAAATCATGGTTGCCAGTTATCTGAAGCTTTATCTGAAATGGCAGGAAACCCTTTTCCATCCTCCAGAAATGTTAAAACAGTTCGCGACAGAGCAAATCAATATCACCTGAGCTTTCGAACAGCGAATCTTAAACTAACGAAGTCGCTTTTTTTTTTTTTTTTTTCTTAATTGTGACGAAGGGCAGTTGCGTCTGCCCCGAAGCACCAAGATGGCGACGCCCACTAGTAGATCGGGGAAGGGAGTTCCGATACTCTAAGCCTCATTTAGTGGCTCTACAAGCCTTACGGGTGGTGGCAACAAGAAAAAAAGGGGTACCCCCTCTCTGCGGGAGTTCCTCAGCTCAAACTGAGTGGATCTCTACTCCATTTCACCTTATGACGTACCGCAGGAAAGGCTAGAAGCGCGAACTCGTTGCCCTAGGGCACATCTCGGCGGCACAAGCTCTCGTGCATTATAAGGGCAGCTCCCAATGCCATGAGCTCGCGCTTCTAGCCTTCGCTGCGGTACAACAAAGGTGAAACGGAGTATAGTAACGTTGGTCTGGGTATACACTACACGTGAGGCAAAACTGATCGTGGATATATACTTACTAGCAACCGCGTAGAATGAGATCTCGTACGTCGCATCCTTCCGGTAAATGCAGGGGTCTTTGTCACATGGAGTGATTGTAAGATTGATAAGCTTCCTGTGTTCCCAGAGTTGATTCCCTGCGAAGCACGTAAATGACTGTTTTTTTTTTTTATTTCCTTGGTTTAGGTTGCGAGGCGGCTACCATGAAGATGCAAATTCTTCATTCAGTTATTGCAAACGATCATTCAAACGTAACAGTTCCGTCACCAATATACAGTAAGAATTGTTATTTCACACACGAAATGTTGTAACTCGAGAGTGAAAAAAAGTTTTTAGGTCTTGGCTCACATTTTAATAACTAGGAGAATGCGATGGGAGCGGTCGACCGTTCGTGCTCACTTGCGTGCACCTCGGCAAGAGAGGTCCCGTGTGCTGACCTTCGCATACCGTACCTTCGCTGAAAAATGTTCGTGCGTCGCAAGCAGCAAGTCGACGGCGATCGTTGCCCACCTTACTGATTTTTTTTTTAACCGAGTGCCATGTTTGCGTTGTGTTGAAAATCACAATCGCGAGGATGTCACCGACGGTCGCGATTGCGACGCCGCCAAAGCAACCGCGGTCCTGGAAGCCTCGATTCTTCAACTGTGCTCATCTTGGCTTTATCCAATGTCTCGTCACGAATACTCCTGGGAAAAGCGCGGAGTCTCTTTGCGCACGCACGATATTTCCGAAAAAAATAGCGTACGCTAAAATAGAGCACGTAAAGCTCAAACCGCAGTAGGCGTTCGACGCATGCCCAGCGGCGACGACGCTATTCTTTGCGTACGCATAACATTTCCGTACGCTATTCTAAAACTCCCTACGTCCCTCCACAACTAAATATATATATATATATATATATATATTTCGCGCCACAGATAAATAGTACGTGACACTTGCTTTTGTCTCGATGTGACTAGTATTTGCGACTCCAGCGAAATCTAGGTGGCGCGCTGGCCAGGCAAGATGGCGAACGAAAGGAGGTCGTTTTCGTCGTTCCGCAAGCGGACCACCATAAATTTCTTGCGCGTAAAATCGGTGTTACATGTGAAAGGAAAGCAATTTTTCGACGGTGCAAACCATCCTCTAGTCAGTGCGTAGGAATGACCAGGCGGAAGCATAAACAGAATTACTGGAAACGATGTTTGTTTCTGCGCTGCCTACGAGGACCAAGCAGCGATAGCAGACGACAGAATCGAAACGACCTCCTTTCCTGAGCTTCTCGGCGTTGCCGCAACGCGGCATTGGTTTCGCTGTAGTCGCCATTAAGTGGCACATTGTCTTGTCACCCAAACCAACATATCGAGTCATGGACGCATGTACGGCGTCTGATGTTTCACCGAAGAAAGCCACTGGACATGCCGGGAACGCGTTCGAGACGGCAACCGTTGGAATGATAGATCAGTAAACAACGCGAAAATATTTTAACGAGTTCTTACGACAGTCCTGATAGATGGTTTTGTTGAGGGCTATTTCAACACGACAAAGATCTGAAAAAGTAACAACACAAAACACTTCCAATCAAATCACTATTCTACATGCAAAAAAAGAGAAAAAGATGCAACGAATAATTACACGAAGAATAGACCCTTTTCAAAAAGTCCATTAAGCAACATTGGCGGCCGCCATTATTGAGGCGCGGAGTGTATAAAAATAGGTGCCCACAAAATGGCGAACTCACATAACTGGTGCAGCAGCTACCACATGGCGCGCGCACTACTGAAAATGGCCCATCGGTTACGTACAAAGTTTGTATTGCACTCTGCTAGGACCAACACCAATCAAAACAAATTGACGCTACACTGTAAGGCGGCCAACAAGGAATGATATAGTCCTTCCAATTGCGTTGAGTTGATCAAATAGGTTTAGCAATTACATCTGCTGCTGAAAGTCCCCGTCGCTTTCAGCAGCACTGTACGTCTACATTGTATATATATATATATATATATATATATATATATATATATATATATATATATGATATAAAGAGCGGTCCCCTCTAAACGTCGTTATAAACTTCGAATTAGTAACTCCGACAGTACGCGTTCTTGACTTAACTTTTCCCGATCCATTGTTTTTATATTTACCTGCACACACACACACACATATCTATATATATTTATGTACAGGGTGTTTTTTGTTTTTTTTAAGCTTAACAGATTTGTTTTAAAAAAGCCGTGATAGTTACACTTATGCCGCTTGTGGATGTGAGTTATACGGCCAGAAGGACATATTATAGGGGGCTAATCGTAACTATCAGTCGGCTAATTAGTTAAAATTCGTTAATTAACTTTTTAATTAACGAAAATAGACATATGGTTCCAGTTAGAAACTTGCTCAGCGTCATCGAAAAGCATTAAATCAGTCATTCTCAGAAAGACTTTGAGCGCGTGGGAAGCGTAGTAGTGCACTAAATTTACCACTCGTGGAGCAGGTACAGAGCTAGCGGGTGCGATAAGGCGCCCTCGCGATTTTTCCGTCTCTTATCTAGCCCCAGGCTTGTACCTGCTCCACGAGTGGTGACTTTAGTGCACTACTACGCTTCTCACGCGCCGAAAGTCTTTCTGAAAATGACTGATCCAGTGGTTTTCGATGACGCTGAGCAAGTTTCCAATTGGAACCATGTATCTATTTTTATTAACTAAAAAGTTGATGAACAAAATTGAATTAATTAGTCGACTAATCGTTACGATCAGCCCCCTATAATATGTCCCCTGGCCGTATAGCTCACCTCCACAAGCAGCATAAGTGTAACTTTCACGGCTTTTTTTAAACAAATCTGTTAAGCTTAAAAAAACACCCTGTATATATATATGAGAACTGTTAACACAGAAACTAACCTTTCAAAATCAGTAAATCAGTGTGAATAAACCGTATTCTCTTTTTCAAGGAGCGATCGCGAGAAAATTACCATGCCGTTATCCAATCGGATCCTTAAAATGTCTGGCAAATTACTACGCAATGGCGTTGCATACGTCAAACGTGCTAGCATTACAAAAGTTTAGCTATACTCTGAGTTAGCAGGAGTCTACATTCACTGCGCTCTTCATTGAATAGTTTAAGGCGTACGACGTGTACACTACATAGTTGTTTCTAGGATGAAGCGATAAACTACGGCTAATCGGGCCGAAAAAACTGGCGATCTTCCGTAACTTTCCACACCCTCGAGGTCCTCCCCATCAGTGCGCACAGGTGGTCGAGATCCTCCTCGTCTACCCATCCGGCAACACGACCTCCCCGACGACCATGTCAGCGTCGAACACCTCACTCCTCCTTTCCCACCTGTCAACCAATCAGTGTCGAGCCTCGCGGCCACGCTTTTATCTGGGCTTCACGAAACGCCAAACATCTAGCCAAAGAACGGATCACGTTAAAAACGAAGGGTACAAAAACAACCACACGTTACTAAAAACATAGAGCACTTGCAGAAAGGAAAAAGAAAACGAGAGGTCACGGCGCATTTACTGTGTGTGATTGGTTCAGTCGGCAATAGCAAATGAAGAAAGACGAGGAACTCTGTGACGATGCGTTTTCTGGCGTCGCTTGATTGACTCCAATTTAGTTGCATGTAACGCGTTATTTTTTTTTTATTTTAGTACGCGCTGATGTACTGCTTAGATTTTTTTCAAAATGCCTAACGAGGAAAGTATTTCTGATACAATTTTACGACATCGTCTATGAAATTACGTTACTAATAACGCTTGATGAATACCATGGCTTTGTTTTAGATTAAAAGCAAATGAACTCGGATTCTGTACACTGCGCCGCAAAGTGTATATAATAGGATTGTTCGATTTACCTGCACCTCATGCACCCGCGCAGAAAAGTGCAAGGCAGTGCACTTCCGGTGTGTGCATAGAGATACGACTGGAAGTACGCCGACCTACATGTCTCTATGCAGGTAAATCGAACGAGCCTGATATCTTCGTCACCGAGGCATCATTTGTCCAGTCAGGATAATATATATATATATATATATATATATATATATATATATATATATATATATATATATATACATATGTATCTGAAAATTCTGATCAAAATATAAGAAACAATATGAAATCACGCAATAAACGTTAAGCTCATCTCGAAGTACACATACGCGGCTTATCGCTATCAAACATTGAAACCTCAAGTAAAGCAAAAGTAACTTAGGTTAGTTTTTGTAACTGTTTCATTATTTTGTTATGTTTAGAAGGCGGTAACGAATCTCAGCAACGCGTTTTTGCTAGTTCTTTTCTATAACGGGCTCAAGACTGCTTCCGAAGAGCAGACGAAAGAAGAGCGAATAATAACAAACCTAACTCACCATTACAAGTTTCCTGCTGGATTATAAACTGTGCCCCGCAGATGGCCAGCATAGAAGCTGCCCAGACTAAGGCACCGTTCATCGTAAAAATAGGAAGGGAACTAAGCGTTCCAGCAGTTCTTTACTAATGCGTAGAAGGGGAATTGCCTTTATCGCAGTGTCTCCAACGCGTTAATGGCTGGTGTGTTTAGCGTCCTTTGCCGCTTATTCACAGGGGTATTAAAAAAAAAAAAAAGTCAACAACATGCGTCACAGGAACCACGGAGGAAACGGTAGGAAACGCTGCCGATTGCGACGATCCTGGCGGCTGGTTGCAGAAGCGCCGGCTTAGCAGACGAACGGGCGTAGCATAAAATCATGTTATCTTACTTCCGCCCGCTGCAGTGCTATGCGACAGCAGATCGAGCTGGCGTCTGTCATATGATCACGTCCGCTACCGTATAACCAGTAGGAACAGAACGGTCGGTAGCGTTCCTGAATTGTGACGTCACCCATTCGAAATCCGGAGATCCAAGTAAAGACCTGGTAAACAGAGGAGTCGAAAGGCTGTCCTAAGTCGAGTTGTGATTGGTTGTTTGCTCCGTTCATTGACGGCTTGCTCGGGTTTCAACCCAGCGAAAAGAACAAAGAAGCAGCCGCTTTCCTTTGCGACATTTGTTCATGATTGTTGTTCAGATTTTACTTTCCGAATAAAATATCTATTTGAAAGAGCAGACGATTCGCGAAAAGCGGCTGCAGCTGCACTTTTTATATTTGTTGTTTACATATGGTCATATATTGCAGGCGATATCCTATCAAAATCGACCTTTACTTTGTTGTAGGCGATTTTGCCAGTTGGCACTAAGCAGCGAGAAAGAATACGCTGATTTTAGTTTACTTACGGTAGAAAGAAAAATATATTCTTGCGCTCACTCGGTTCATGAACCCTTGGACTGAAGTGCACTCCCAACAACTGACGGAATTTTCTTTTGTGTTTTTTTTTTATTTTTTTAACCGTATAATCGGGGCTCAGATGTTAAAGTGAAAAGTGTAAATGACTAATCGCGCACCGTGACATGGAGGACTCGAAAACCTTTTTCACCGGTCGCAAGAAAGTCTGGAGGTACAGACTTTGTTAAAGATGGCGTCTGTTGCGTTTCCATTAAATGGAAAACTTAATTTATTAGTTTTTTTTTTTTTTTGCATCCCGCAGAAGTAAATACAGAACCAGACGCCAGTATTGGTTGAAAAAGGAAAGGAAGAAACCTTATCACAAAAATGTTCTTTTTTGCAAGCCAACACTGTAAAGTTTTACTGTCTGATAATGCAGTTATTTAAATTAAATAAACACAAATTAATCAAAAGGAAGACGACATAACGAGCGTTTGGCCTATCTTTAGCACACGTCGCGGGAAAGTGGTTTATTTTATCCTTTTCCTGAGTGCCAAATATGAGCCACGATGACTGGCTTTTTTTTTTTTTTTGCCTCACCGTGACGCCTGGTCACTGAGTTTTAGACATAACACTCTCGGTGAGTTGCCTACGAGTACATTACGGCTGAAAACTTAATCCCTACACGATGGCGGACAGAACAGAACTGGCCCAACTAAAAAACTGAAACGTTAAAAAGAAGCCTGTTTATTTATTTTGGAGTGAAGAAAATAAATTCCACTTCGGTCGCCGCTATCATATGTAGTTCAAGGTTTGAAACTTTCGTGGTCATCCCCATCATTCCTGGACACGGTCTCCTTGCGCCCTCTCTTGGCTATTCCGAGCAAAACGCAGTAAAATTATAATTTCAGCCAAACTACTGCAGAAATACTGAAGTTCCCCGGGATATCTATTGAGGGCACTATATTTCGTTTCAGCTTCGGTCCGAGCGCGGCCGATGTTATGAGCCGAAGGGCCAATCATACAGCGAAAGAGGCACAACGTCATGGCGTGTTCTCTGCAGTTGATAGGACGAGCCGGAATTCGCCGTATCTCTGTGCGTGCTCCTCCGCCGGCTAGTCCTATCAAGCGCAAAGCGCTCGCCATGACGTTGCGCTTTTTGCGCCATTTGATTGGCCCTTCGGCTCATAACATCGGTCGCGTTCAGACCTAAGCTGAAACGAAGTATATACTCTCATTTAACACGTACTTGAACCTCAGGATTGTATACATTTTATTCCTGGGCCCGATATAATATGGTTGCATTGGGTCCTATGGGCTACTTTGACAAAATTTTAAATATATTCTCACTGAAATAAAGAATCGTAAAGTTCCGAGGAATATAATAGCTGCCGACTCATAGCACGCACCGCAATTAAAATTTCGGTGTTTTAATGAATATTTTTTTATTCCTCAGGACTTTCAAATTCGGCCCGCTTTTTGCCCATGTAAAGTTAGCCCTCCGCCGTGCACTAAGGAGCTTGCGGCGAAGCTGCCTTTACATAGGCTTGTCAAAAAAAAAATTGTACGATGCGTTTGTGACAGCATATTGACTAAGAATGTCGCGGTTATAATATGACTATAACATAATTAGATGTTTACAATCAAAATTTGTGCCCTGGATTTCAAATATAAGCAATTGTTATGTAGGGTCAGAAACATTTGCATTGTTTTTAGCTCGGTTACAGACACAAACTGAACAGAATTCTTTCAGGCGTGTATCACAAGAAATAACTAGAAAAATTACTAGATCGGCGCGCCGCTGGCCGTTCGATTGTATATCTTTTTATCTACCTTTATATATATATATATATATATATATATATATATATATATATATATATATATATATATATATATATATATATATATACAACGGGCATGGTGGAGGGAGGCCGAAGGCGTAGGTATTTAACTGAGAAGACAAAACCTTTAGTGAAAACAGCAACAACGGACGATCTAATCTTTGACGTTTCGGCCGGAGTCCGGCCTTCGTCGGAGCTAGAGCACTATATAGCTCCTACGGAGCAGAGTAGCGCAACCCTTTGAACCCCGTGTTTTGCCGACAACATGGCCGACAGAGGGGCTCGGCGCGAGTCACGTGGTACTCAGGGTTCCAGGAGGCGGCCCGCCCTATGGGAGAATACATGGAGATTGACACAACACGGCTGATAAAAAAACGAGCGGCGAGTTCACACTTTTCAAAACTAGTCTGTCGTGAAGTTAGTAAAGCACTAAACACTTTATAAAAGTTTTAATAATATCGGATGCGTGTGCAAATTTTGAGAAGGCGATTTCCAAGGCAATGGCGTTTGATGCAGACGATTTTTGCTCGCAGCGGAGATGGGCTTTTCGGGTTGGCCGGAGCGGGTCACGTGAATGGTGTGACGTCCCCGTGTCGTCTGCTGCATGATGTCGCTCAAACAATTTAAAAAAAAAAAAGTTACGTCCTTGCGTGGCACAAAACTTAGCGCAAATTATTCTAAGATGTTATATTATTATGTCAAAAACGATCGCTATTCCGTACATCCCCAACAATAAAGAAGAAACAACGATTTTCTCACGTTCTCCATCATTTCTGACCGCAGTTGGAACCTCCGGGCGTTCGCCGATAGTCGCCGAGAGACGGCGTTCTGGATTGCGCTACTCTGCCTCTGGAATAGAAGAAGTTCCTGGAGACTGGAGGAGAGGAAAAGTCGTTCTTGTTCCAAAAAAAGGTTGTGACCAGCGTTACCCCTGCAACTACAGACCGCTGACTGTGACCAGCACGTTATATAGAACCTTCGTACATATTCTGAAGGAGCACATGGCTGCATGGGCAGAGGAAGAAGGCTCGCTTACGGAACTTCAAGGAGGTTTTCGACGAGGTCGCCGGTTGGAAGATCATCTGTTTTCGCTAACACAATGTATTGAGGTTGCCCGCAAGGAGCAGAGGACCCTAATATGTTGTTTTCTGGACGTCGCCAAGGCCTATGATAGTGTGCCACATGCCCAGTTGATATGTCGACTACAACATCTTGACATGCGACCAGAGTGGGTCACCCTCATCCACCGCCTATACAGTGGCAACACGGTTAGGACAAAGTTAGGTGAGGCTAACTCTGAGGAAGTGCTGGTGACAAAAGGCTTACGCCAGGGGTGCCCACTCTCTCCACTATTGTACATGCTTTACGTAACCGGACTCGAAACGCAACTGATCCGATCTGGACTGGGCTTCTCGTTGGCTCACTTAGAAGATGGTCTGACCGTCGAATGGGATCCACCCGGACTTACCTACGCAGACGATGTAGTACTGACCGCGGCATCAGTCTGCGACATGCAGAAACTCCTAGATATCTGTACCGAGGTAGCAACGGAACTTGGATTGAAATTCAACACTAACAAGTCAGCAGCGGTGCTGTTTGCAGGTCCACAAGATCCAACATTTGGCAGTCTTCGACTCGGGGTGGACTGTGTACCTGTAATGAACTCGTACAGGTACTTGGGCATTACACTCACAAATACAGAGGACTACTTGCAAGAGCATCACGCCCATCTGCGCCAAGCAGCCATCAAAGGCATTCTGCGCAGACGGAATCTCTGGAGTTGCAATAGATTCGTTGTGACCCGGGAGCTGTGGAAGGCGGTGGTGGTACGAGGCTTGACTTTTGCTAACGCTGTGGTGTATGTCCCTGGAGATATCCGAGCTCACATAGAACGTAGGCAGAGGGAGGTCGGGCGCCAAGCGCTAGGCTGTCATGGTACAGTAGCAAATGAGGCTGTCCAGGGTGATTTGGGATGGTCCTCTTTTGAAGCCCGTAAAGCTACCAGCAAAATCGCCTACGACGGACGTCTCCGACATATGGACACCTGCCGGTGGGCCAAAAGGCTGTTCAGGTACACTCAACTGACTGGGCTGCAGACCCGCTGGCAGAAACGCCTATACCAGCTCGAAAGCAAGTACGGTTTTTTTGCGGACCCTGTCCAAGCGTCGTCGGCCAGGGAATGGGAGAGAGAGGTCCGAAAAAAGGTTCGCGACCAGGAAACACGGCAGTGGCTCAAAGATGCCCAATTGAAGACTACGCTCGATGTGTATGTTGCAAGCAAGAGGACCATCGGCTCGGAGGCTAGGCTATACGATAATAGCCTGGGTAGTCGTTTGCTATTTGAGGCACGAGCCGGGGCACTAAGGAC